TGTTGTCGCCTCCGCTGGTAACAGTGGGAAGCGGGCTGACACATACTATCCATGCTCGCTGCCACGCGTGGTCTGTGTGGGTGCTCTCAGGAACCAGGACACTCTTGAAATGGCTGGTTTTAGCAACTACGGTGATAGCGTCGATATCGCTGCCTACGGCACGGATATCTATGTCGGTAACAACGAAATCTCGTCGGGTACGTCCTTTGCCTGTCCTATCGTCTCTGGAGCAGCCGCGATCTTGCTTTCTATGGGCGTTAAGCCAAAGTACGTTGCTGGGATGCTCACCCACAACGTTGATCGGTTCAATAGCTCTTCGAGTCCCATCAAGGCGCATGCTGGAGCTCTGAACCCGCTAAAAGCTGTCAATATGGCGATCGATTATCCCATTTTGAGACGCTAAAAGGCTCGAGCTGCTCACACTTGACTTCACACTCGATAGGGAATTCTATCGCATATTGTTCACTCATCCCTCTGCCTTTTATTCAACTCTTAAGCCCAGCTTTACTGGCAACTCAAAGAATGTTGCCGATCGCATCTAATCCGAGTTATCAACAACGGATCTGTTTGGTATTATCCAACGAGTTTGTTATTGCGTTCTCTAGTTCAGCAAGAGGACGAAAACCGGGTGATACTATCACCGGGTATTGATAGACCATCAATACCGTGATAGTCTAATCGCAACGCGGTCATCACATGTAATGTATATTTATACTGGCCGGAGGACAACTGTCTTGCTGTTCCGTTGCCGACATTGATACCAGTTAATTCTTCCACTGGAAGAGTCTAGAAAAATCTAGGAGAATCTAGGAAGCTAAAGCTCCACAATTCTTAGGCGCCGCTGCAAGCCTCGCTACAGTAGGGTAGTCACACAGACAGTCAATGACCGAGCCCTTCGACGTCATGACGAAGGATCGAGCAGTAAGGGGCGAGAAGATATCGCAAAGCACTGTTCCTGCTTCAGTTCACTAGCTCCGGGCGTGCGCTACGAGTCAGTTCAATCCTATTCCTATACAAGACAGTCTGTCCGTCGTTGACCTTTCTCGACGACTACTGTAAACTTATTTTTAGGAAACACACCCGCGGCATAATTGGTGAGCCGCTCATGGTGATACTACACGAATTTATGACTCCTACAATCTCTATGGACCACCTCCCATCGCTACCTCACTGTGCCGACAAGGCGTATCAATTCTGTATTCAATACAGTGTATTGAGCAAGTCTCACCCCCTACTCGTTTTCCTAAGTACATGGAAAGTCATTCTCCCTATGCACGATCACAATTTGTGATTCACAAAGTACCAGACACTGTACACAGAGAACAGGAAACACTCCCTTGTGAAGAGTATCACCACAACATAGTCACGATGATAGCGTTCATGGCAAAATGCCACCAATCACTGGCCATCTGATAGCACGGATAAAGTGGTGGTCGTATTACTACCACGATACTCTATGATCAAA